AGCCCCATGAGGGGCCCGTCGGTGGACCTGCAAGGCCGGCGGGAGTGCAAGGAAGCCCCGCAAAGGCCCTCCCTGGCCCCAGGCAGGCAGGGGTGGGGAGAGGCAGGGAGGAAGCAACTTACCCTCCCTCTTCTCCTGCCTCCTCCTGGCTGAATGAGGACCGGAAGCAGGGCAGCCAGAAGCATCATGTGCCCCGCCCCCCGGTACCTAACCCGGGGGAACTGCGATCCCCCCCGAAATGACCTCTGGACAGAGGTGTCGTGCACGTGCAATGAACGGCTGTTTTCTTTTAAACCGCGAGAAGCATTCTGCCATGGCGCCGCGTGCGTGAGACGTTAATTTTCCTCGCCTGTCTTTCTAGGGCCTGTTTCATCCTGCCAGAAAAGTCAGAGACGTGTACTGGAAGATCTATAACTCCATCTACATTGGCTCACAGGACGCTCTGATCGCCCACTATCCGCGCATCTACAACGACGAGAAGAACACCTACATCCGCTACGAACTCGACTATGTCTTGTAACTTTATTCCTCGTTTGTTTTTTTTGTGTGTGTTCAGTGCACAGCTGTTCCACACGTGGTTCAGAGCTGGTGATGTACAATTTTTAAGACACTGCAGATCAGCGTAGAGCGGATCGGAAGCAGAGCTTAGAAACCCTGTAGCATGATTTTTCAACAACATGTCCTTGTTTATTTTGATGTTTAAAACGCCAGTAGTGACCAAGAACACAGTGATTACATGGAGTACCCGGGAGGCTTTGGGATTCATCTTGATAAGGAGTTAGATTCCATTCCTTGTGTTTAAAGGGGCTGTTTATTTGAGAAATAAACATTTGTGCATAAAATATCAATGGTTATGTGTTTGTGAGCATTTTCAGAGAGAGGCGTCTCCACAAGTCTCGGATAGATGGTCGCGCAGCAGTTTATGTATAAAAGGTGGCATATTACATTTTAACCCTCTTTGTCATACCCTAGCTTTTGAATAAATAAAAGAAATGTTCAAAATCTTCGTTGTCATTGTTCTGGGGCAATTGACTTGTGTAGCTGGTATCACTGTGGGTTTATTTGCGTTTGGCTGAATTCAGAGTAGTTCATAGAATAGACTCATAGAATGTTAGAGTTGGAAGGGACCTTGCAGGTCATCTAGTCCAACCCCCTGCACTCTGCAGGAGCAGAGCCAAAAGATAGCCCTGTAACATACCCGAAAGATGCTAGTCGAGCCTCTGCTTGAAAGCATCCAGCGAAGGAGCATCCACCACCTCCCAAGGCAGTCTGTTCCACTGCTCAACCACTCTTACAGTTAGGAAGTTTCTCCTGATATTTAGCCGGTAACGACTCCCTGGTAATTTCCACCCTTTTGATCTGGTCTGGCAATCCGGCGCAAGAGAGAATAGACCTGCTCCATCTTCTACATCCTTCAAATACTTGAAGACTGCAATCATGTCTCCTCTAAGCCTTCTCTTTCCCAGGCTAAACATACCCAACTCTTTCAGTTTTTCCTTATAAGACTTGGATTCAAACCCTCTCATCATCCTGGTTGCCCTCTTCTGGACACGCTCGAGCTTGTCAACATCCTTCCTAAAATGTGGTGCCCAAAACTGGACACAGGACTCCAGGTGAGGCCAGACCATAGCAGAATAGAGTGTAACTACTACCTCCCGTGATCTGGACAGGATGCATCCTAAGGTTTGAGAAGTTTGAGAAGAAGGGAGCAGCAACTCACGAAAGCTCATTCTCTGCCACAGATTTTGTTCGTCTTTAAGGTGCTACGAAGTATCTGGAGAAATGAGCCGTGACTCACGAAAGCTCATACCCTGCCACAAATTTTGCTAGTCTTTAAGGTGCTCCTGGACTCGCACTCTTGTCTGCTGCTTCAGAGTAGTTTGGAATTCCTCATGCTCTTTTCTGTGGCCCTACCAAACATCCCTGCTCCTGCCAACACACAGTGACTACTTTTTCCAAGGTTTCATGGACAACTGAACAGCATAGATATTCCAGACAAGTTCAGTGGTACAGTGAACCTGTACAAGCATCTTTATTGCACTTCTGAGCAGTGGATGTCCCACTTGCTGTGAACGTGGTCTTCGAATGGTAATTCCCCACCGTGGATGATAAGTATGGGGTGGGTGGCATCCTCGCTTGTTGAGACGGTTCTACCTTTAAACCACCCTCTGTGTACATAAACTTGGTGGATTTCTGCTGCCACCAGGAATTAAAAATTCCAAATCTCTCGGTAGAATGACCTAGGGTCTGGGCACTTTAGAGGACTATGTGGCCATGAGGAAGGACTATTCTGATTGCTGGGGTAAGTTTAAATAAAAATTATTTATTTCATAAAGAACAAAATAGGTTTCTGGTTATTTTGAACTGTTGCTGAAGAAAGGAACTTGTAAATATAACTGGCAAAGCTTGGTGTCACAGTCTCTCAAACTCCCAAAACTCCACTCTTGACTGATGTAGACACTCAGTCTAATCTCTGTCTCTCTCATCTATATAGCTGCACAGGCTGAACTCTTTGTCTTGTTCATACAGAATAGACTCATATCTCATATTCACACAGACTAAACTGTTTTATTCACACAGAATAGACTCAAAATCTCCCATAGTCTCACAGTCTCTACTCGCTCTCCAAACTTCACACACAAAATCACTCTCCTAGACACCCCTCCTCCCACACTCTCAGTCATCAGCCAATCAACACACTTGTCGCCATCTATCCCTCTTCTCATATTACTGCAGTCAAACGAAACATTTTAAAGAAACACATACACAAAAACATGAAATCATTACAGGGGGTTCAAGAACAGCCGTTCCCGAGCTTACCCCTCAGCTGGGAGGGAATGAGGATCTTTGTTCAGATGTTCTGTCTCCTATTTTAGTCATTGGTGGGGTAGGGAAAAGAATCCAGTTAGATAGAGGTTTCTTTGCTTTCTAGTTGGAGGGATTTATGGGAGGCGGGCTTTAGGGGCCGCCTGGAGCTGGATGGCCGAAGGGTAGCCTGATCTCTTCAGATCTTGGAAGCTAAGCAGGGTCAGCCCTGGTTAGTATTTGGATGGGAGACCACCGGGGACATTTCCTGCAGGAGCGCGCAGGAGCGGAGCTCCGGCAGTAAAGAGCCCAGGGGGTGGGCACATGCAACAAGCCCCACCCCCTGCTCCCAGCAGCCCTCAGTCAGAGCAAGAAACAGCCAGGTAAGCTGCAGAGCTCACCCCCCGGCCCCCCCCTCCAAAACAGTCCAGTGGCACCTTTAAGACCAAGGTTTATTCAGGTACAAGCTCTCCTCTGCGAGGACAGATTTGCACGTCCACGTCCCCCCCAATAGCTAGCAAACCAAAACCGTCCGGTGGAGCCTGAGCGGTGGGTGTCGCCTTCTGACACACTTCCGGTGATGTCAGGGTGTGTGGCATATGGACATAACTTATGCTAATTAGTTATGCTAATGAGCTCCTGCACCTCTTTTTCTATGAAATGACCCCTGCATATAATAATATAAAATCCATAACCAAGTTGATAACAGGTATGCAGACTGAATGCGCAATCCCTTAAATACTAATATCTAGATTTTCAGTCCACTCAGTCGCAGCTGGGGAGAGTTCAAAGAGCTCCGCCACATCTCCCTGGAAAGCACGATGCTCACATTCCTGTGACAGATAGGAAATGGTTTAGCGGGCTGCACCACAATCGTATTCGGGTCCTGCTATTTTGCCCCATTTAAACAACAGGTCTGCACAACTGTCAAAGCCTGTTTGTGTTCTTTTAGCCGTCTTCCATACTTTACGTGGCGTCAAATCCTGCGGGCCTCTCGTTGGTGTTTATCATGTTATGGATATTCGGTAGAACATAAGAGACACCAATATTGGATCAGGCCAATGGTCCCTCCGGTCCAACACTGTCACACAGTGGCCAGAAATACCAGTGCCATCAGGAGGTCCACCAGTGGGGCCAGGACGTTAGAAGCCCTCCCAGTGCTGACCCCCCCCCAAGCACCAAGAATACAGAGCGTCACTTGCCCCAGAGTCCCTATCTATACCTTGCGGCTAAGAGCCACTGATGGACCTCTGCTCCATATGCTTATCTAATTCCCTCTTGAAGCCATCCATGCTTGTAGCCACCACCACTTCCTGTGGCAGTGAATTCCATGTGTTAATCACTCTTTGGGTGAAGAAGTACTTCCTTTTATCCGTTCTAATCCGACTGCTCAGCAATTTCATGGAGTGCCCACGAGTTCTTGTATTGTGAGAAAGGGAGAAAAGTACCTCTTTCTCTACCTGCTCTATCCCACGCATAATCTTATAAACCTCAATCATGTCACCCCTCAGTCGTCGTTTCTCCAAGCTAAAGAGCCCTAAGCGCCTTAACCTTTCCTCATAGCATCTACGTTCGCAACCATTCATTCCCTAGATTGAAATTTTGTGATTGCAGGATTTGTGCAGATCTTATTGCTGGGTGTCGGGATCTTAGTCTGGACAGGCCCACGCGAGCCATGTCTTTGTGGATGGGCCACTCTCTGTTTTCGATGATCTTTCTATATTCACGAAGAAGAGCCTCTTGTCTTTGGAGATGCGGGGGAGCGATGTGACGAGGGGTGTAGGAGACTGCGTCTGAATCTGCCAAATGAATATTAAGAGCTTTGAATCAGGCTTGGAATGCAGCAGGGGGAAAGACGGCCAGTGGTTCCACATGTGGCAAGGGGGGAGCATCACCCCGAATAAACATAATAAAATGTCTCTCTCTCTGTGGTTCTATTTTTACACAGGTTTTTTTAAAAGTCTGACTGTGCTCACAGATCTGTAGCGAAGTATAAAACACGCTGAAAGAATGGGCCCTTTGTTTTTCGGCACTGTATATCCAGCAAGGGAGCAATGCAGGAAATGAAATCCAGGTGACCCGTTATTTGCACTGATCGGAATAAAGAGATGCTCTTAGACAAGGGTATTAATTTAAAAATAGTAAATTGTCTTTTGCTTTCTTAACTCTTCCACATTCACAGGCATTGTTTTCCTGTTTGTGGGGATTCGCGTGTACCGTACGGTCCGTTTTGGGAATTGGTGCTATCATTGAACGAGAGAAATTTAGGCCGATTTCTCCTCCCTTTGAAGAGACCCTCTCCTTGGGCCCGACACTGTTCGAGGGGGTTTACCGACCCACCGTGACAACATGCCAACGCGTTTTTTTTGGGGGGGAGGGGAGGTCGCAGAAGAAGGATCTTGTGGGTTACAAGCCCAGGCAGTGAATTAAAAAGGGCAAGTGTTTCAGAGGCCACACCACATTCACTGTCTTACGCAGCAAATCCTACCAAAATGACTGGTGGCCTCCAAGTTAAAGGATCTGGAAGATCAAAATACAAACGTACAAAGCTACTCTTATGTCTGAATATGACTCTGCCTCATTATTTCCTGGCAGCAGCTTTCCAGAAGGCAAATAGGACTTTCGTAGTTTTGTTTTGGTAGTGTGATGTTTTTATTTCTGTCTCCTTCCTTAATATCAAGTGATGTGAGGTAAGAGAACATAAGAAGAGCCCTGCTGGATCAGACTAGTGATCCATCTAGCCCAGCCTCCTGTCTCACACAGGGGCCAACCAGTTCCTCTGGAGGGCCAACAACAGGGCAGAGAGGCCAAGGCCTTCCTAAGAACACAAGAAGAGCCCTGCTGGATCAGACCAGTGAGGGTCCATCTAGTCCAGCATCCCGTCTCACACAGTGGCCAACCATTTCCTCTGGAGGGCCAACAACATGCACAGAAGCCGAGGCCTTCCCAAGAACATAAGAGCCCTGCTGGATCAGACCAGTGGTCTATCTAGTCCAGCCTCCTGTCTCACACAGGGGCCAACCAGTTCCCCTGGAGGGCCAACAACATGCACAGAGGCCGAGGCCTTCCCAAGAACATAAGAGCCCTGCTGGATCAGACCAGTGATCCATCTAGCCCAGCCTCCCGTCTCACACAGTGGCCAACCAGTTCCTCTGGAGGGCCAACAACATGCACAGAGGCCGAGGCCTTCC